AGCCACTAGTGGCCCTGAGGCAGTGGCTGGAGGGGTGAGTTTGAGGGGGGGGATTCTGGCTGCTTGCTCAAGCGGTTTTGTGTCCTTGCTTTCTGTTCCTCAGTTTCCTCATCTGTGAAAGGGAGAGAATAATGCACCCTTGTCAGAGTCATGAGGATTCTGTGAGCTCTGGCTGGTAAATTCCTCAGATCAGGACCTGGCCTGATTTTGGCGCTTGGAAAACTGGAGTCGTTAATTTCAGAGTCAGAAGAGTTTGTCGCCAGTGTTGCAAACTAGTCCCCAGCACTCTTCTGTTTGGTGAGACTTTATAAGAAAATTGGGATTTGAGGCCAGGCCATTCCACCCCTACCCCATGCCAAGTCCCAGCCTACAGTGGCCAGGAGGCCTAGCACACGTCACATGATCCTTAGTTGGGTTGGTTATTTGCATTTTACAAAGTATTCCAGACATTCTGGCAGAGTGACCTTAGGTTGGTTATTCGCATTTTATAAGGTATTCCAGACATTCTGGCGGAGTGACTTTGGGCGGGTGTCTTCACCTGTGAGCCTGTTGCCTGCAGGAAGAGGGAGTGGGGACAACAGTGACTGGGGAAAGTGGAGGAAATCAAATGACACAATAGATGCACATCCCTGTACATAGACTGCTGGTGCCCCCGAGGGAGCGCCTCATTCTCAAATGACCATATGTGTGGACTCTGCCCACGGAAAGGGCAGGTGAGCCTGTGCTGCCAGCCTTCCCAGCCCTCCCCACTTGCCAGCACTCATACCCTTCGTTCTCTGAGGGCCCTGACTTGGGGAGCCAGGGCCGGACGGGACACCCTTTGCCCTGGGATCAGACCTGAGCAGGATCCAGAACTAGGGCATGCCCAAACCCTGGGGACAAAGGGTGCTTTCGCAGCTCAGGAATTGGGAGCTAGCTCTAAGGGGGGTAGAAGGAGGGGAGACTGGGATGCTGTTACCCACCCATTTGGTCGTGTGAGTCAGCAAAAGGCACCCGTTCTGGGTGGGCACACTCACCAACGTAGCATTGCCCTTATGTAGGGTACAATGGGCCATGGCCACCCTGCAGGGGAGGAGGAAATGGCCTTTATCTGTTTGGAAGCCACAACCTCTCCTGCTTTGCCAACCTGCTTTTACTCCAGGAGGATCATCCTTTGAGCAGCTAAGAGGCCTGGCTCTGCAGAGCCACTGAGTTCAAACACCAGCCTAGTGACCTTTGGGTGTGTTAGTCAACCCCTCTGTGCCTCAGTTTTACAGCTGGGGAGAGTACCCACTTCAGTCATTGCTGTGAGTTAATGCACTCAACTTGTCACTTGTCATGGTGGCTCGGGCTTAGGGCTGCTGTTTCAGGTGCTTCCACAGTCACCTCTAGACATCCCAGGACCTGTTCATGCTCCTACCCTGAGAAGATGCAGCCCTCTCTCCTTTGTTTCATCTAAGTAGCATTAATAATGGGATACAGCATTTATTTGTTATAATTCAGCACTTACTAATTTATTTTTTTGACTGTGAGGCTTGTGGGATCTTAGTTCCCTGACTAGGGATTGAACCTGGACCACAGCCATGAAAGTACCACATCCTAACCATTAGACTGCGGGGGATTTCCAAGTAATGGGATACAGCATTTAATAAGTTCTGACTGAAGTCTCGAGAACTCCAAGAAATGGTGATGTGGAAATGGTGAACCTAATGCCAGGGCCCACTGGCCATACCTTTTCACTCAGGGATCTCTCCCTGCCCCCTCTTCTTGCCTGCTGCGCCTTGACCCTCCATAAACAGTAGCTATTATTACTGCACTGTCCATGGATGGCTGCTGGGAAGTGGCCTCAAAGCTGGCAATAAAGGGAGCCTTTAATTTAAACCTCATTGGCTGGGGACATCGACATCCACTTCGTCTCTGAGCCCTTGGTCTGGGAGGTTTCTCAGTGTCAACCGGGAGCACGCAGGGAGGGGCAGATGGCCCATTGTTTGAGTGGCCTTTCCCTGCCCAGAGAGCCCAGCACAAGAGTCCTGGGCTCGTTCTGCAGGCTAGGCAGGAAGAGGGTGCTTTGCCCCAACCCAGACCCAGCCCAGCCCAGCTTTGGAAACAGCCAACACCCGTGTCTTGGGCTAGGTCATGGCATTACCTGGGAAAGTGGGCTGCCACCTAGGCATCATCCCCTTCCTTTGCTTGCCCTTGGATCTCTTCTAGTGCCTTTGAGAGAGGAGAGGAGAGATCCTGGTAGCTCCCATAACCTGGAGAAGCTGTGTCTTCTAATCCCCTTCCCCAGCAGATGACTGCAACACAGTCCTTTTGTATTGCCGGTCAGGCTCTGCTTCAGTCAAACCCTTACCTTCTTACCTTCCCTGACACCCACCCATTCCCCTCAAGGTTGCTCTAGGTCCAAAACCTAGAGCCATCTTGAGTCTTGATTCTTGGCTGTTTCCCGCCCCTGTCTCCCACCCCCATCAAATTCATGACACTAAGTCTTGGAGGCTCCACTTTCCCACATCCTCCCACTGCCTCTCCTCCTCCACCCTCTTGTCTGTCTGTCCAGCCTCGTCAGGACCATCGCAGCAGCCTCCCCGCTGGGCTCCCTGAACTCACTCCACCTTCGACAGTTTGTCCCCCTTGTGTGGCCAGACAGACCCTATGGACAGTTGAATCAGACCCCACCCCTGCTTGCAGTCCTCTCCTAACTTACCATTGCACTTAGAATCAAATTCATTATATGTCCCCACTGCACTTAGAATAAAATCAAAACTTCTTTTCAGGCAAAAAATAGTAAAAAAAAAAAAAAAAAAAAAAAAAAAAAAACACCTGGATTTTTCGGATAAAATACTCAAGAACAGTTCTCCCTGCCCCCATCCTATTCACGGCCCCCTCCTTTTAAAATTATATTCCAGCTCTCCTCTAAATAATCAGTACAATGTCTGAGGGCCTCCACGTCTGTCTTCCCGCTGGACAGCGGGCTCTGGAGGGTCACTGGGTCTTGCTCACCTCTGGGGGCCCACACAGTAGGGACTCCACACCCACGTGCTGAGGCAAGGCCGTAAAAAAAAAAAAAAAAAAAAAAAGAAGAAAACTCCTCGGATTCTTCAGTATGGTTCTAAGTCTGTTCATTCATCTGGGATTTATTAAGCTTCTGTCTTGTGCCAGACACTGCTTCAGGGGCTAGAGATACAGCAGTGACCAAAACAAAAGGTCCTCACCATTCATGGGCTGACATTGTTGGGAAGAAAACAAACATGATAAATAAACCAGTCATGTGGTATAGTAAATGGTGACCAGTATTCTGGAAAGAATAAAGCTGGGAAGGTGTGGGATGCTATTTATGAAAAGGTGGTCAGGGGACGTCTCACGAGGTGGTACTTCCGCTGATCTGCAAGAGAGGAGGCTATGAGCCCTGGGGATCCAGTATCTGGGGAAAGTGTTCCAAACAGTGGTAACAAGGTATCACCGTATACAAAGGCCTTGAGGCTGGAGCACACCTGGTGTGTTGGAGGAACAGCTAGGAGGCCAGCAGTGTGGCGGGAGCTCGGAGAGGAGGGGCAGAGTGGCAGGTGAGCTGGGATAAGAATGGGGAGCAGGATGACCAGGACGTGGAAGACCTTGTGGGTTCGGCTGAGGCCCCAGGAGTCTCGGTTATTTCAAAAGCTGGGCTGGGCTGCACCAGGGCAAGGAAGACTCCGGCAGCCTTTCCTCCTTTCCTTGACTTTGACACGTGGCACCAAAGGAAGGTTCTGAGCAGGGAGGGAGGGACTTGATCTGACTCAAGTGTTCACAGGCTCCTTCTGACTTCTTGTGAGAAGGAGAGTTGGGAGGTGAGTGGAGGAGCAGAGAGATGGTGAGGACGCTACTGCAGTGGTCCAAGCGAAGACAAGGCGAGGCTGGACAGGACCAGGGTGTGGCCGTGGGGGAAAGGGGAAGTGGGTGGATTCCGTACCTACTCTGAAGATGGAACTGACAATTTCCTGAAGAACTGGATGTGGGGTGTGAAGACAGAGGAGCCAAGGAGGACTGCAAGCTTTGTTGCCTGCACAGCTGGAAGGATGGAGGCGCCATTGACTGGGATGGGGATGACTGTGGGGTGACCAGTTCTGAGAGGAAGATGAGGAGCTCCGCTTTGGATATTTACACTTGACATGCCTCAATGTAGCAATGTCATTTATCTGTATTTATTTATTTATTGCTGTGCACCCCCCCCAGTATTAGCCACTTGAGAACCAATCACATTTATCATGCTCAGCACCATATCGCCAGCACCCAAGAACAGGGCCTGGCACACCAGTAGGTGCCCAATAAATGTTTGTTGAATGAATGAAGATAGACAAGTCCAAAATATCCTCTACCTTCCCCGTCAGCCAGTATCTATTCCAGTCCACCTAACTCCCATGTTCATTTCGTGAATCCCTCAGATGTTTGTTCAAATGTTCTCCTTCTCCGCAAAGGCTACCCTGAGTACTTCGTTTACGTTCCAAATCTGCATGATTTTTCTCCATAACACTTACCCCCTGTAATATATATGTACTTAAAATTTTGTTTGTTGTCTCCCTTCACTAGAAGGTAGTTCCATGAGGCCAGGGAGTTTTGTCTATCTTGTTTACTGGCAACGCACACAGAGGGCGCTTAATAAATATTTGTAAAATTTCTGTTACTGAATGGGAATACACGCCACGCCTCAGCAGGTTCAAGCCTGATTTCGAGACCCGCCTTACAAATCATCCATGCTCTGGCCCCGCCCACACGCAGAGGCCGCGCGCGCTCACGCGGGAGAGGGGGCGCGGCTCGTCCATGAGCTGAAGGGCCGAGGGGAGGTGCACTCTGCGCAGGCTCCGAGCTCTCCGAGGCGGGGTTTCAGTGCTTTTTGGCATAGGAGGCGCGCGCGCGCGAGAGGGCGGCGGCGGCGGCGCGGTGCGCAGGCGCAGCGAGCAGTGCGCAGGCGTCAGCGGAGGGCGGGCTGAAGCAGCTGAAGCGGCGGCGGTAGCGGCGGCGGCGGCGAAGGCGGCTCGGGCAGAGGGGCGGGAGCAGAGGCGGGAGTGGACGGGCTCGGGAGAGGCAGCGGAATGGTGGACTACCACGCGGCGAACCAGTCGTACCAATACGGCCCCAGCAGCGGGAGCAATGGCGCCGGCGGCGGGGGTAGCATGGGCGACTACATGGCCCAGGAGGACGACTGGGACCGGGACCTGCTGCTGGACCCGGCCTGGGAGAAGCAGCAGCGCAAGGTGCGCGGCCCGCGGGCCGAATGGGCTGGAGGGGGGCCTTCCGAGGGAGGCTGGGGGCCGGAAAGGGGCTGGGAGGTCCTGAGACGGAATTGGAGGGTCTGTGGTGAGAACTGGGCGTCCTGGGAATGAACTGGCGGGTCTGGGAAGGGGTTTAGAGTCCTGAAGAGGAGTTGCAGAACTTGAGCAAGGAACTGGGAGTCTGAAAAAATAATTGGCGGCTGAGTTAGGGAATATGGAAATCTAAAACAAGGAATCGGGGAGCCCGATGAAGGAATTGGAGGGTCTGGGCGGGGAATTGGGGGAAACCGGCGAGATGATTGGAGACGCTAAAATGGAATGGGGTCTGAGGCGGGACTGGTGGGTCAGGATGGACTGGGGGGTGTTCAGAGAGAAACGGGGGAGTCTGGAATTTGTGGGTCAGGACAGAATTAGGCATCGGGGGAGTCTGAAGAGCTCGAGTATGGAGGGGGTTATTTGGATTGCGGAATCCTCTGAAGAGGGTTGGGATTGTGGGAGCCCCGGGTTGGGGGACTTCTAAAGGGGATGAAGATTCTGGAAGTCTGAAGATGGAGTAGGGGTACCAAGGAAGGGATTATGAAGTCTGAAGAGTAGTGGGAGGACTGGGGAGACTGGGGAGGTGGAAGGAGGAGAGAGGCTGAGGAAAGAAGTGGGTGTGAAAGGACCCGGAGCTTGCGGGGTGAGAACGGGGAGGGCTGCTAAGGAGTTCCGGGACTCCGGGTCTGAAGAGAGAAGTTAGGGAGCTGTGAATAGGAGGTTTTGAAGGAGGTGAGATTTATTTGGGGTGCGCTGTTCTACGGGGAGGAGGAAAAGATTGGGAGATAGGAAGAAAAAGAGGAATGTGATGAGGCCGAGACCTCATTGGTGAGGAGAGGCCGAAGGGGGGATACAGAGAGTACCTGGAGCGTTTTGAGGAGGGGTTCTGAAGAACTGATGGAACGTAGACAAAGCTCAGCAAAGGGTTGGCGGCGCCGGAGGCTAAGGTAGCCTGGACAAGGTGAGGACGGCGGGAGAGAATGAGCGGAATGGCGGGTGGTGGGAGGGAGGGAGGTTAGAGTAGTAATGAAAGTCTCATTAGAAAGGGAGTGTGTGATGGATAGACTGAGAAAGGAATTTGGGGGTGGGGGCTTCTGGACATGCAGTCCCGAGACTGGAGAGAGTGTGTGTATTGTGAAGGGAGAATAAATTGTTTGGGGAGGAAGAGGTGAGAGTGTCCAGAAGAATTGTGTCTTTAGGGGGTGGTGGTGAAGAGCTCTTTCTAAAGCAGGGTCTGTTTTCAGGTGGCATGTTGAGAACGTGGTGTGTGTGTGTGTGTGTGTGTGTGTGAGCGGGGTCTGTTTTCAGGGGGCGTGTTGAGCGCGGTGTGTGTGTGTGTGTGTGTGTGTGTGAGCGGGGTCTGTTTTCAGGGGGCGTGTTGAGCGCGGTGTGTGTGTGTGTGTGTGTGTGTGTGAGCAGGGTCTGTTTTCAGGTGGCATGTTGAGAACGTGGTGTGTGTGTGTGTGTGTGTGTGTGTGAGCAGGGTCTGTTTTCAGGTGGCATGTTGAGAACGTGGTGTGTGTGTGTGTGTGTGTGTGTGTGAGCAGGGTCTGTTTTCAGGTGGCTTGTTGAGAACGTGGTGTGTTGGTTGAGAGGGGAGAGCTCCAAGCTGATAGAAGAGAGAGTTTGAGCATGTGCAGCAAGAGCTAAAGAAAGGAGGGTGTTGAGTGGGTGTGTGTGTTGGGAGGGGGCTGTTTAAAAGTGTTGTGTGTGAAGAGGGTGGAAAGTACTTGCACTTGGAGGCATTTAATATGTTCCGGAGATCGGAATTTTCTTCCTAGGTTTGCTGTCAGCTCTGTGGCCTTGGGCAAGACCCTTGATCTCAGGGCAGTTCTGTCATCTGTGAAATGAGGAGGGGTCGAAGGGGTCCCTTCTGTGATTCTACAAGGATGGATGTGTGTGGTGTTGGGACTTCGGGAGGGTAGCTTTGGTGGAGCTTCCTCAGGATCATGGGGGCCAACTCAGGCAAGGGGCTGGAGTGGCAGGTGCGGCTGGAAGCCTCTTGAGGGTGTGAGTTGCTGCTTTGGGGGCTCCGTGCAGGCAGCCCAGTGTGGAGGGGAAAGGGTGAAGGGAGCAGCTGTTCCAGGCAGCCTGGGGTGGAGCCTGGCATGACCTTGGGTAAATTACCAACCTCTGCTTGAATTTCCTCATCAGTAGTTGGGGGGGCGGGGGGGGGGCGGCTTGATGGTGGTGTCCTTATCTGTTGCCCCACCTTCCTCCGGGTGGGCAGGTTGAGATATTCTGACATAAAATTCTTTTTGAGGGGAGAGACCTAGCCTGCAGTCTCAACAGTAATTTATTGCCGGGGGCAGTGCCGGGCTGGAAAAGGTTAAGAGTTGCCAAGAGACTTGGAAAGTTGGGAGGGGAACAGGGGGCCACGGGGTTGTTTTTGAGCATGTCTGGGATCTGTCTTCTCCAGCTCCAGGTGCTTGGGGAGAATGAGCTTCGGAACATTTTTACTCAGGTGGTGGGAGTGGGGACCTTCCCTTTCCCTCCCTTCCTGACTTCTACGACTCCCAGAGTGACTCCCTTTGCTAGCTCACTTCCACTCCCTTCTGGGAGTTAGGGTGTGTGCTCCTTCGTGGTTATAGTCTGCCTTGCACGCTGGGTGAGGCTGAGGCACCATTCAGACCTGGGTGGGACACCCTAGGGGACTCACCGGAACCCCTAGGCCCTGCTGCTGTTGTATCATCCTCCCTCCTCCCTTCCGCAAGGACCAGGCAAGGTTCAGGGAAAGGGTGGCTCACAACCCCTCTAATACTAGCTGTTTTAGATTCTCAGTAAGGGGCAGATTCTAGTGTGCCCTGCTTTATACAACTGCGACAAATATTTACACATAGCTGTACTTTGGGGGCAAATGTTGCTTCACTGCTGTGCACCTGCCTATTATGGGGTGGGGATCCTTTCTGAAATGGGAGAAGGAGTAATTGAAAGGAACATATACACAAGTTTGTGCTGTTGTCTTCCTTCTAAGAGGAACCCCCCACCCCCATTCCCCCCAGACAGGCTGGCTGGGTTTTTCTGCACTGCAGCGTCACTTTAGTGAATGACAGATTGCCCTTCTTGCCCCTCCAAGGCTGAGCCACTGGTCACAGGGAGAGTGGCAGTCCTGTGAGTGTCCTGTGCATACTCTCATACCCTAAAAATCATTATCCAGGATAGCTGTAGGCCCTCAAAGCGTGTGGAATTGAATTCTTCTAGGAATTAAGCAAGGTTTGGCCCAAGTCCGAGGGTGCGTGTGATTCCTGGTGGTTCTCACTTCTACCTGAAGCCCTTCTAAGGACCCTTGTAACCAAGGCATTACCTGATAAGTAGCTTATGCAACAGTTCTGATCTGGGAAGGCTCTGCGTGTTTTCTCCAGGGGTGTGGGGGAAGGACTGGTCTGGCCTTTGAGCAAATTCTTGAGCAATTATAGCTCTGGGCCAGAGTTCTCTCTCCCAGTTTCTGAAAGGGGCCTGGGTAGCCTTGCCCCCCCTGTTCTGCTGGACAGGTGAGGTCACTTGATAGCTGATCTAGAACTTCTCATCCCAGCAAGAGGAATTGCCTCCTTTGCTAAGGTTGCCTGTTCATTGAAACATCACTGCTTACAGGGCCTCAGTGTTTAGACCCTGACCTTTGGCTCAGGCAGCTCAGCCTCTATTAGATTTGAGTTAATTATTTGAAAGTTCTGATGGTGTCTTGTTTTTCTCCAAGTAGGGTTTGTTTGTTTGTTTTTTCCTTAGGCTGATGATAGAGACCTCAAAGTAGCCGTCTGTTATTTTGTTCCATTACTCTAATTGCTTGCCTCTTAGGATCTGGCTGAGACTAGCATATCCTTAGCAGTTTTAAAAACTGAATAAGTTACATACTGAAAACAAAAACAAACCCCCAAAAAACCTAAACTCAATTGTCATCTAGAATTAAAGACTGTAAATGTGTGAGGGCGGCAGGTATCCTGTTTGCCTTCTTGGGAGAGGGGTAGGGGAAGCTATTAGCTGCTAGCCTCTGTCCTCCCCGCCCCCCCCCCCCCCCCCCCCCCCCCACCATGTGTTTTAAGAACAGGGCTTTTCTGATGACTGTGGAAGAGATGAGATGTGGGAGGATGGCCTGGGAGTACAGCGCCCCTTGTACTCACTCACACTCATTCAGCTGAGAGTTGAAATCTGGTTGGTGCCATGGAGTGGCGCCTGCTGCTTCATCTCATTCTGTGCGCTCCAGGGCGTGGGCCCAGGATTGCCCTCTGCCTTTTGAAACACCCTCCCTGAGACCAACAAGGAGGCTGCTTTGGCAGCTGGGAGCTGACTCACTCTCCAGTTGGAACTGGTGCTAAATGGTTTCATTTAATGGCAGCCTATTGCCTGGCCTAGAGTGGGATGCCTTGTGGGAAAAGTTTGGTGAAAGTGTTGGAGGAAAACAACCCTGGAAATGAGGGTGGTGTTTTAATATCCAGGTGCTGCTGGTGCTATTAAACTCCTGAGATGCAGTACAGGAGGTCAGTTAAAATGTAGGCTTGCACTCTCAAAATGTCCTCTTAATCAGATGTCAGGGGAGCAGGGACAAGCCTGGATTCCAATCTGAAGCCTCTGGGGTGGGGAGTTCTGCCACTTAAACATATATTCCAGTCACGGCTGACTTTGGCCAGACAGCACCCTTCTACAGCGTTAACTGAGTGAATAGTACAAGTTATTTGGCAGTGCTGGTCTAGCAGATGACAGCGAAGAGAATGGAGCCAGAAAGGAATTGATTTGGGGAAGGCTCAAGGAATTTCTGAGACTGTTGAGATGAACGCTTTTGGCTTTTGCCATATTGATTTATAGTGTGCTGGGAATTGTACAAGCCTTTGACCAGATCTTAGGGTTGTTCTTTTAAAAAAAAAAAATTCCTTTGCTCTTATTTTGGGGGGAGGGGAGAGGGAAAGGGCAAAAATAAGGAACAGCTGTTTGCTCTGGTATCACTTGCTCATTCA